AATATTCAATTTCATAAAACAATATAAAATACATGACACTGTTTTTTTTTAATATGTAATTATTATATATATATATAATTTAAATTTGTTATTTCTAATAACTTTTTTCAGTAAAATATTATGTTGGCTCTAAACGTTACTCGCAACAAATCTATAAACGGCACACTGTTCATAAAATTTAAATCAATATATTGTATACAGTAGCGTATCTAGGGATTTGTCTTGGGTAAGATTTTACATTACAAGTGTTTTTCTCATTACCTCCTCGTTGAATTAAAATCATTAAACTTTATATTTTGGAGATGGTTTACCAGATCCCTCTTCCGTAATTACGTTTCAGATTATAAGATGAATTTATCAATAAAAAAAATTACTCTTTTGGTTTGATAAAAATTGAGTACTCTGTTAATCTTAACGTAATATTTGTAATTGTTATCACTTTACAGAAAAAAATTACAATTTTCAGTTACTAGACAGTCAATCAAAAAAATGTGACACGTCTAGTTAAAATTTAAAATAATAAATAAATAATTAATCAAGTCTTACAAGTTAATTAATTAATATTTAATTAAATATATTATGATTAATATAAATTATTCATTAAAAATAATTTATACAATAGGTACGAGACTATATATTCGTACAAATACAAAATGTCACATTAATAACAAATATTTAACATCTGTTGTAAGTTTCAAAACATAAGCTTTTTGACATGAGTAATAACTATCTCTTGTACATAAACTCAAATACCAGCAAAAAATAAACTTCAAACTTAACTATAAGCATGCCAAGAACGTTATGTTAATTAGAAAATGTTAAATATTCTCCAGTACCTAATTGAGTAAACAAAAAACGACTACACAAGTTAGTTCGCGGCTTTTATGCCGGTCAAAGTGTTAACGAAATTTAACAAGCTGGCAACCTATTTTCATACCACGTTTAAAAAGTTAAATGTAATGAAGAGTTTTCCTTAATATTATTAAATTACACTTTTAAAATATAAGTTTAGTATTAAACTGCATAGTCGTTTTACTTATAAACTCTAGTTAGGTCCACAATATTAAATCATTTTATCATGTATGTTTAACAATACTATTTATAATACATTATTATATTACAAACGACATTTGTCCAAAAAAGTATAGGCTACGCTACAATTATCATCATTTTAATAATGTTAAAATGTCATTGAATTTACTAAAATTCTAAAGTACTTTCGATTAATTGTGTATTGTGTAATTAATGTAGCTATTGTTATAAAAATTTTCCCACAAAAAATATTAATATGAGGCAATAATAAAATTTTAAAATGAGGTTTAGCATCAGTTTTTTTAATAATTTACGTTAAATTAAAAAAGACAAATGAATGAACTTTTTGTAAATTAATAATTATCTAATATCTACCATAAATTGAGTTCTTATAATTCCCGTACTTTTTTTTTGTTAAAATCATGCATTTTTTGATCAATGAAGTACATAAGCTTGTATTTCATTTGGATTATTTATAAAAAAATTATACATTTTTTTATAAAGTAATACGATTAATATAATAATAAAAGTATTCAATACTCCTATTAGTACATAAAACATGTATTTTGCACCTGAATAATTTTCTGGTTCTTGCAGCTTTTTTGAAATAATGTCAAAACATAAAGTACGCAGTTGTAAGTGCACAGCCAGTTGGGTCGATAGTTGTAATAGTAATAACAGCGACCGACATTAATAATTAACGGTTTTCAGTAAAGCTCAATGACTAATATCGAAACAACCAGGTACATTTTTCTGAGAACAAAATAACATGTGTACGACAAATTTTGATACCGAACTACGAGATAATTTTATGAGGTTGTTAAAAATTTAATGTTTGGAAATACTATTTTATCAAAATAGGTCAACACATAAATGTTTGTTCTCCTATAAAAGTCTAATAGATATTTTGGTTCAAATTAGAGCACATTTTTGAAACTTGTTTTATATTACTCATCTACTAATCGATCAGTATGTGTATAAAGAATAATTTCTTTAAAATTCAGTGTTTAGTAATGTTTTTATTTTTAAACTTTCGTACTAAAGTTTGTATATTAAATATTTATTTACTTTAATGCTGTTTTGGATTATTTTCTTTCTATATTTATAATTTAAACCTTAAAATTCTTGCTTCTTAAAAACTTTTTAACAGTTAAATCATAAATTAAAGTATTTACAATATTTTTGCGCTACAATCTTTTTTGAACGATTTAAACAAATCAAAATAAAAGTGCTTTACATTATTAATTTAATTTTATTAAATTTACAAAGTGTAACAATGTTTTAGTTCAGCATATATATTTTTTGAACAAGTTTGTTTACCCTTTAATCTAGTTATATTATTTATTTAAACTTTCAGGTCTAACTTTACTATAAATATACTATTTATGGTTAGATATATGTTGTCAGTTATGATAATTTGTACAGCAGTCAATAAAGTATGCTTATCAATAGCTAAACATTAATTATCATAACACGCATTATACTTTAAATAATTTTAAATTGTGTATAAGTTGCGCAGTTATTATTCCTAATCAGTTAGGAAGCTTTTCTCAAAATACAGAAAAGATAGAAGAGCAGATGCTTGCGTTCGAGCCTTTTATGCGATAAATGTATTATAAATAGAGTAAACCTGTTAACCATAAGCGTAAATAGAGGGGCTTAGTCCCTCCAAAATTTCAGGGAAACTATTTGTAATATTATACAAAAATTATTTTCGGTAAAGGGGAAATTAGACATAAGTCCTTCTAAAAGTTTTGTTAAAGATGCGTATATCCATCATGTAATCGTATACATGTAATTTTTATTTTGACATCATAATATTTAAGTATTTACTGTTCAAAATAATAAATAATCAATGGTTTAAGTTTACAAATTTTATATGGTCAATAAATATCAATACGTTATGCTATGAGATTAATTTATATAGCGTTTTTTATAGTTTCCTGCTACAATTCAACCATTTTGCATTTTTGCTTAATAGTTATTTCTCAATATTGACTTAAGAAAACACGATGACTACATACTATGATAAATTATAACCTATCTATTTCACATTGTATTTGCATTAACTTGACGAGCTTTTAGACCATTTTTAGAATGTAGCGGAAATAAATGTCAACTATGTTATATATTATTGTTCTCTCTCTGCCAATTTTCAAAACTCATTCGTTGCGTTTACATTTTCATACTTAAATTTTCCTACGTCACCATTGCGGAAGTTATTTGCTTTGCCAATTTTCATACTCTCTTGTCTAGTCTCCAGCTGCATAATCCGCGACCCTTTCAGTTTTGTTATCCAATTTAAATAAATTTGCATCTCTTCCACGGACCTTTTACCCTGAATTCGCACACTTAAGTCATAGTTCAATACGCAAACAAGTATACGTGACCGGAATAAACCTATGCGATTTTGGCCGGACAGAATTATTATTAGCCATCTCGTCTCTTTCTTTTATTCGTCTTACTTTGTTAAGCTCTTTCACTCTTTTGCTTTCTTTTACTCAATTGCTACTAGCCTCAGTCACTCTACTATTTATGTTAAGTTTTTCACTCGTATGCACAATGTTTTTTCGTCTCAAAGAAAAACAAGAAATATTGTGTTAAAAACAATTTCAACAGAAAAAATCATTTAAATTGCTTTTGTGTTTAAAAGATTAAATGATCAGTATACTAAGATTTTGTTAAAAAAAACTACGGTAGTAATAATATTCAGTCAACTTCTTAATCATTGTGCGATTCTACATAAAAAAGTTTGTTCGTTAAAAAATATTTGTGTTCAATATTAAAATGATTTACTTTTTTATCGTTAAATAATAAAATTTTTCATTGTTTCTACTGATAAAATTACCACCTCAAGAGCACTCATATATAAACTCACTATTGAATTAACAATTATTTTCTAAACTGTTTCTAAAGCTACTATTTTGTAAATAGTGATTACTTTTTCATATTTACAATTTATATCTTGTTACAGAAATATAGTAATATATAGAGATACATTGCAACACAACTATAAGATTATTTTAAGTTTTACGTTCATCACAGCATGTCTACATGAGATAAACGTGGCGCCTGTCTTGCAGTTGACGGTTATTCCACCAAATGTAATAAACTGATAGGAAACTACCCATCATAAGTTTGATACACCGTAGTATATAAAATAAATATAATGATTATTTGTTAAAGTTTACAGGAAAAATATATTCTTAGAATTTTTACTAGTGTAGGGAGAATATTATTTAAAATTTTTAATCAAATGGGGATGAATGTGCAAATGTGAAAAGGTTCGACAGGGTATCAAATTAATTGTCATAATATTTGTATACCTCGAATAAAAATATTTATTGTTAAATTATTTTACAACTTTTTTGTTGGAATAAATAAGTTCATTGATAGTTTAAAGAAAAAAGTTTTTTTTTACTCTAAATACGAATAAATAAAAATTACTGCATGTAAAACATTTTTTGATGTTTGACTAAGTATTTATGTTTGAATGATACCTATAAAATGAATACACTGAATTATTTTCCATTCGTTGGATTTAGTATAAATTACTTTTTTAATACTTTTTTCTTGGCATTACAATTCTTTTAATACTACGAATAGTATAATAATTTTCTTCTAAAATACGAGTATTGTATATTTTAGTAGAAAATTTTTTCAATTTTTAAGGGTAATATCTTCAACTAGATACGATTTGTGATCTTTTGACGTATTATTGAAAGATATCGGTCCAGTGAGAGCTGAGAAAAAGTAACAACAGACATAAAAAAAAAAAACACATCATAGTAAAATTAATACCTTCTCAGCTTCGTATCGTAGCTAAAAAAAAATACTATTTACTACGTTAAAAAAACAATATTAAAATTTTCTTTATAAAAATTGAATAATTTTTTGTTTTATCAATAATTGTATATTTATAATTATTAATTAATTGAAAACATATAACAATTTTTTTTTAATTACAGGCTTGTGCTGGAGAAACCTGGGTAAATATCTCAACCAAGAACACAGTGAAATTTGTAATCATTTTTGAAAAGAAAAGAAGCACAAGTATCTTACAGTGATATGGCTTCGTCTTCACTGATGCTAGTCGTTTTTGTTAATTTGGTAAAAAAAAATATAGATACATATTTTTTATTATTTTATATACTTGAAATTTGCAATGAAACTTTTTCAGTTTTATTCAATAAATGACACTTTTCGATCAAGCTTTATATCCTTAATGAGAGTACAAAATAAATAAAAAATATATTGTTATATTATATTTTATAAAAAATCTTGAAATTTTACCATTCAGGGAGAAATACGGTAAACAACATTGATATTCGTGGATAGGTACACAAATTATCACAAATATCACCGCGAATGATATTATACAGGGTGTTCAGTAAATAAGGAAACGAATTTCTATTGTACTCATTGTTTGTAACAATTTAACTGTTTCCTAACTTACTGAACAACCTGTATACATAGTTTTGTATACTTTATTACAAAAAATGTAACTAATTTATACACGGATGGTTCAAGCAACGCCTACATAGCTTATCACACTTAACCATCAACGAATAATTTACAATGAACAAGAATAAAAACAAATAATATTGCATGGACACCCGCAGACATGGGGATGTCTAGCATTACATGAGTACAATGGTACTTACCTCATGTAATACAATGATGCATTCGGGGAAGTTTTATATTGTGTTTGATTTACGTTTGATTCTCATCACATATTTTACATTTTTGAAGTATCCATTACAAATTTTCCAAAACAATGGATCGTATTTATCATACGTACAAACTATATTATTCATCTTCAAACATAATAAATAAACAGACAAATTTTTTAATAACCAATTTTATATACAGAGTGTTCAGTAGGTAAGGAAACAGGTAAATTGTATAAACAATGAGAATAATAGCAACTCGTTTCCTTAATTACTGAACATTCTATATAATTCAACTGGAAAATTTATCATTGGATCTATAATGATTCTGTTAAATTTAGTTACCTACGGATGTGTTGTACAAAATTTATAAGTAAACATTATGTGAAATTTATGCAGCTTTTAATATTATGAAATATTTTTTTTTATAGCTATTTTTATTGAATTAAATACGTTCATATACCATTAATACTTAAACGGATTAACCGTTCTCATTTCCTCTTGAAAAAAAAACATCATCACAGTCATTTTCCTGTTAAATTAAAACATCCCCTGAATCATGTACACAAAAAGTTACATTTTTATTAAAAGTTATTAAACCAAGTGATGAACAAAATTAAAACAACCGTAAATAAAATAAAACAAAACACTCTTTGTTTCTTATAAATTTCATACTCTTACCGGGTTTCGCTATGATTACTTAACAACTGACGGGGAATTAATATAATATTGTTATATTTTGATCAGTCTAGTTTCTCTCAAAAATTTGTATCACATAAAAATAACTACATTGAAAGTTTTTGAATCATTTATGGAAAACAATTCAATTTACCTTATATATAACAGCTAAAGCCTAACAGACCGTTTAGGATTTTAGTGCCTATTTATAGTATTGAACGTTTATTTCTAATATATTTTTCATCCGTATCATATAATAAAATAATACTGTAGAAAATAGTATCGTTTGTGAAGAGTATAGTTGGTTGAAAAATAAAGTTTCATCGTAAAATTTTAAATTAATAACAAAAACAAAAAATTGAAACATGTAAAAAGTAATCATACCAATTGCAAATGATAACGGTTTTACTTTTTAAATTAAAGTAATTTAAAAATTAATTTTAACTAGGTTTTTCTTTATTAGCAATACATTTTTTGTTCATAAATTTAAAACAATTATCTAATTAATTAATAAACATACCTAACTCACTTCACTTAATTTTGGTTTTTCTAATCCCTGTTGTTGAGATCAAAGTTATTTTGTCCATTAATATGCTATTAATTTTTTATTAGAGTGAATGCCTTGTTAATTTTTAACGTTTGAAAGTACACAACTATGTGTTTGTCGTACGCAACTTGACTGGCACTTTGATGAAAATAATTTGTTATTCTAAGTATTTCAGTTTCAGCCATAAAAAACATTTAGCTTATATCCTTTAAGCCTTTAGCTATTTACTGAGTGACAATAAAAATTTGTGTTTTGGCACAGTATTGCAGCTGGTGTTGATAACTTAACAAAACAGGACGGTCGTAACGATTATTATCAATATCTAATGATTAAGTATTACAAAATTTATGCAATAACTTATTACGAATTGATAAGATAATGGCAACAATTTCGAACTTCCAAAACATAAATATTTAGTTATCACGTGACATATATCTTTATCGTTTTATACTACAATTTTTATACATTATACATGTAATTCATTAAGAATACTACCTCTCATTTTTTTTTTTGTTAAATAATGATTTCCAATAGAATTGTACAGATTTACATTATCTTTATTTTTATGAACCATAGTAAATATCATGTTTGTATAATAATATTTATAGGGTACATTTTAGGAGACGTTATTTCAAAAGTTAAATAGAAACTCATAGCTATTATTTTTCTAATGAATGGACTTAATATAATTTAAATATTCGATAACCAGTTTTGAAATATCACTATTTAGTTAATATAATTTTTTAATTTCTGTGAAAGGAGACTGCGTAGAATTCTTATCTATGCATTATAGTAAAGACGGTACGTCGCTTAACACTTACTTGATTCTAATATTTACTAATTTTAAATATCTGAAATAGTAATTTAACAAAGCTGGTTGTTGACTAGTCAGATTATATTTAACCCATGTCTCATTTAATAGTAAAAAATAATATAAGAATAATAGTGTCCAATTAACTTTCAAAAATTACTCCTAAATTTTATCCTTAAAAATAATTTTTACTTGCAATAAACTTGATATGTACTAAGGTTCATAAATCTGTACATTTTTATGAAGAAAAAATTTTAACGAAAAAGGAGATATAAAAGATTCATATCTAATATTTGAGATTTATGAAAAATTATATATATTTTTTTTCGACAAAATCATAGTATTGTGATATTATGTATAGGAGAATACTAAATATCATCATTAGTTTCAAGAAATTAACTATACAAAGGCATACATCACACGAAGCTCTCAATCTCATTTCATTAATTTAAATTATATTTTAATGTTTAGCTAAAATATTTTGATCTGTATTCACAAAATAATGTTTACGGAATTACATAGTTAGTCTTCGTGATTTTTTAGCGTATTGTTTAACATAAAGGCATTTATCAAATTTTGTTTACATTAATAATTATATTATACTGTATGATTAAATATACGGTAACATTAAGTAATATAAATCAACGCATTAGATAAACTATGAATAAATCAAGCTAATATTGTATAAGCAATTAAATTGTTTAAAACTTTGTAAGTTTAACTATTTTTTGTTAATTTACTATCAAATAAATTATTCAAGCTCTGATATATTCACTTGATCCAAAATTCCGTTTTATTTTAATGAATATTACTGATGAATCAGTTTATGTTTTTATATAACAAAAAATAATTTTGACAATGTCACATTTATCCAAAAATTATTATTTTTTTAGAATACTTAAAACTATTTGAATCACTAACTACAAAAAGAGAAAAAGTTTATTTTATCTTGTTTTTTTATTATTGTGTATTAAAAGGTTGAAAATATATATTTTAAATCAAAAAGAATTCTATTCGGACAGTTCAAACATTAAATATAGTGTTAAAAATATGACAGTTTCTTGTAGAAAATAAAAGTATCAGTTTTATATTTTTTCCTGAAAAATGAGTAAAAGTGGACTTGATTCATTTTTTTGTTAAATTATTCATTTATTTAATCTAAGCAACTTTTTGAGATTTGAACATAAATAAAAAGTTAATTCATTTTGAAGATATGAGCAAATATATGAAAGGTAACATAAGCTTTTCAATTAAACAATTTTTTTAATCGATTGCTATTATGGCAAAATTATTATGAAATCGAAAATATTATTTCTTAACTTATGCTCAAAATACTGTTATAAATGTAAATTTCTTTACTAAAGAAGAATAACAATTTTAAAGGAAATAATTATGCTTTTAGTTAACAAAGAACATAATACATTTAAAAACAAAGGTAAAAAATCTTGTTAAATTTGTAGGTTTTGTAAATGATTCTTTTGTGTATCTTTTGAATGAAAGTTTCATGAACTTAATGTTAGTTTAACTTTTCCTTTGCTACTCATCAATGGGTAATCGTTTTCTGTGTGCCTATAAAAGATAATGCATCTAAATAAAATATTGCCGTTTCCTTTGTAAAACGACTACCCATTACCATGAAAACAATAAGAAAAATTATTCCAAAACTTGAATAGGTAATTTAAATCTCAACGGCCCCAGAAAAAAAAATTCTCTACGTCATTCACAATTTTATTTTATTCTTTCATTTGTTTTAGTGTTATTTACATTAATTCCATTTAAGAAAAGTTCTGTTTTTTATATTTTTGTTTTTAAGTTTTAATGTTATAAGTTTGTGCGCTATTATTTTATATGATATTAACATCTCTATTTTCGTAACAATTCATTTTTTGTTTTTAAAATTACAAAAAACTTTATATTTATCTGGGAATGAAATTTTGGTTGAAATTAAGTATTATTTTAGGATAAACAATAAAATTCCATATAATCAGTATAAACTATAATTTAGTTACACTAGAGAACTTAAAAGTGCATAATGGTTTGACTAAATCGATTTGGTCTAATAATTTCTCACATAAAATTATATGACCCTACTGGACCGTATAATTTTACTGCCAAAGAGTAATATATTTGTATCGATACATTTTCTATAAAACACAAATATTTATTTAATGTATTTGTTTTAGCTTGATAACAATGTTTTTACAATAAAAATAACTAAGTATTCAAAGTTAACAATATAATATGTTATAAACACATTATTATTTATTGTTACAGATCTTGGAACTTAAAGCATTTATAAAGTTTCTTTTTACCATCTTGAATATATCCAATAATAAATGGTTATTCGTAGTTTTCTTTATATAAATAATGCATTTAATTAAGAATTAAGTTATAAATTCTTGTC